TTACCATTGCCAAGAAAACCGTATGGACGTTGCTGGATAATCAGTCCTCCAAATCAGAAAACAGTCCTCTAGTTGCTGGGGATAATGTAAAATTTTCACTAGTACATCTGGCACTGATACTTAAAAAGAACGTAGACAAGTAGCTTTAGCCTAATCAATGGTATGCACTTCTCAAAGAGGTGCATGTGGAAAACATTAAGGAATTCTGTGGCAATTTTTAAAAATATTTTTTTAATCCCTTTATTCTTTTTTTATAAATAACTCAGGGCGGCAAACGTACCTAATACTCCTTCTTCCTCTTATTTTCCCCACAGCCACATGAGGTGAGATGGGCTGAGAGAGAGGGACTGGCCCAAGTCACCCAGCCAGGTTATATGCCTAAAGCGGGACTAGAACTCACCACCTCCTGCTTTCTAGCCTGGTGCCTTCACTGCTAGATCTAACTGGCTCTCTTCTCTTTTAGAAGAGATGCAAAGAAAGACAAAGGATGAATGCCATGGGCAGCAAGAACATGTATGATGATGTCCAGCAGACTTTCAACATCAAGGTGGATGGATGGGATCAGGGAGATCACCAGAACATTCTTGAAAGAAACTGGTTACTGGATCAATGGTGAGCATTTGCCCATTTGCCTTGGGCCTGACCCAATGGCATCTAGCTCACTAACTCCCAAGTAGATCTGAACGAGACTGCAGCCTTAAAATTTTATTGGCATGGCATTTTCTGTGCTAATGAAAAAATTTTCTGTGGTGTCCTTGATGCTAAAGAAGAATTTTTCATTAGCTTCAACCAATGTTTACTGCATTTAAAGTGGTCCCTTTTCCAGGTTCCTGTTTCCTGGTTGAGTGGTTTGCAAAAATGTGGTTAAAACTGTTGACCACAGTACATCACAGAATGGAGCCAGGCACTTGCCGCTGAGTTCAGTGGGGCTTGAAGTAGAAAGGACTGTGGACTCTGTCCCTGGCCTCAAATTTCTCTTCATTTTTTGAGCTTCTTTGCTGGGTGCGGTAACTCCATGTCTCCACTCGGTGGCACTGTAGCACACAAAATATTCCAGAGCTGTTTTGCAGCTTAATGTCTTGTGACAAATAATAGAAAGTATGAAGATTAACATTCCAAATAGTTAGCATACCAGAATGGAATAATAAAAACAGAATATTACAGAGAATATCGAGGTGAAAAATAACATGCTATTATTTCAGGGTACTGGTTTTCCCTCTGACGGGCTGTGTAGAGTTTTATAATGAGGGCAGAGTTCACTACTGATTATTGCTACGGAAAGTTTTGGTGGAAAGTTATTTTTTCTTTTATCTTCTGAATCTGCTGCATTAAGCAGTCATGCCCCCAAGGGAAAAGTGTATTGCTCTGTTTCTGCTTGATAGCACACAACCAAAATGCATATTGAAACTCTGGGATTCTGAGCCAGCAGTGCTAAGCGATGGAAAAGGTGAGCATTCTGAGTTCAGGACGGGACAGAGATCATATTTTTGTCGTAAATGTGGTCAGAAGTGGAAGAATGTGAAAAGTGCCTGTACTGGAACACAGGGGTAAAAATGTAGAACTTGTTATCCTGAACTTGTTATCTCCTCTTTTTGAGAGATTGTCTTGTTGATATTAAGATTGCAATTTAAGACCCCTTTCTGGGGCTGGAGGTCAGTTCAGTTGCACTTCATGAGCTTTGCTTCTGAGTAAACGAGTAGAGGCAAGTTACTGCCACGAGTATCCCTTCCAGGAATTGCCACCCCGATGTGGTAAGAGGGTTCCCTAGCTTCAAGTGACCTTCAAAGCGAGCAAGAACTCCTGGTAGGGTCACTTTTGTTGACAAAGTCAGCAGGGAAAGGGAGAAGCTAGAGATAATCCACAGAGTGTATGAAGACTGGTGGGCTACACAGGCTGGAGAGAAGTCAATCCACCTAAAAAACTGAATTCCAAAATCTGAAAGGGAAGCAGACATCTTTACCGTTGCCAAGAAAACCGTATGGACGTTGCTGGATAATCAGTTCTTTGCTCTTCTCCAAAATCCTGTTCGTTCTTTGCTGTTCTCCAAGATTTGGGCTTCGAGGCTTTAACCTCATGTGTTTTCTATTCACGTAGTTTAGCAGGCTCCAACACAGAGCTTCTTATTCTGTGTGTCACCTCCCTGACGCAGATGTATCCATTTTCTTTCCTCCACTCCCTGCCCAGGTACTCATGCTCCACTTCTGTTCCGTCCTTTCCATTAATCACAGCAGATATTTTACTGAGGTCCTGAGTATTGTATTCAGGTATAAGATCTGTCTTGCTGAACTGGTCTGTCTACATTGTATTCTCTCTTTCCTACCTGTTGTTTGCCCCTAAGTATCTACTATTCAGGGACATACTAATATTCAACCAATGCCCATCAGTCTGTCTAATGGTTTTAAAGGGCATTTACACTCAACGGCTAACAGCAAATCTTTGGGCAACAATTTCTTTGTGAATCAAGACACATTTTAAGAATTTTTCTCAGTCTTTGTCTGAAATGTTTGCCCATAGTTGCAAAGCCTTAAATTAATATGCTTTTGGGACAACTGATTTGGCTGCATGGAGCAAACATCTGCAACTGTTTCTATTCACTCCAATCACTAGATAATATCAATTTATTTTACTTTACTTTACTTTTCTTTTCTTTTTTACTTATCATATTAGCCAAAATTAACTTTGCTAGTATAAAGACCACCATGTTGCACATTTCTTCTCTGCCTACTAAGAACCTGTGTATTTTGCTCCAAGGTTTTAAACACTGATGGGCAAGGCGACAATTTTTGTTTCCTTTGTTTCATTGTTTCCATGGCTTTTTTGTCTCAGGACCTTTAAAGCTGCAATTCTTAGCAGAAACTCATTCTCTTAGCCTGCCACCTCTCCCTCTTGAGCCTAGCTCCTATGCCAGGCTATCACATATTGTTCCTTTTTTATTTTGTTTTTCCTTTTGCTTTGACCCCAGTTAGCCTAAGGAAGCACATGGAAGAACTTGAAAGCTTGTTTTGTATTGGGCAAGATTGTGAGTACACCTGATAAAGCAATTGGCGAGTTGCAGATTTTAGAATACATATAGTTGCTCTTGAGAAATACTCATGTGTAGGAAGAAATGCTTTTTTTTGCTTGCGTCCATGGGGTTCTTCAGGGCCACCTTCCATTCACTCCTCTGTCTCCCGTACAGAAGAAAAGGTAAAGACTCCTTTGACTCAGACTTAATTCCTAGAGACTGACTATATTGACAAGTCCATGTAGTCTTCTTGACAGTAGGATGGAAGTTGTTTTGGTCATTTGAGTTCCCAGGCTCTGGGAACTGTTAAGCTAGTCTGACCCTACTTAGTTTTTGGAGATCAGCCAAGGTTGGCTAGATGCTACCATCTTGACTGGAGGATTATAGGAAAAATAGTTGCATGGGGGAAAGCTTTGTTTCTTCCCTTACATACAACCTAGCATTTCTTGGCTGCTTAGTGTTTGACATGCTACATATGCCAATAATCATATCAAAGAAAAATGTACCAGCTACCAATGAGTTATATAATGCAGTCAGCCCAGCAGTTTGCAGTAGCTTTTGTTTCTGAACGAGAGAGAGATCCCAGTTCATTGCCATAATGACAGCTCCTTTCAGAGGACAGGAGTTTGTTTTAGGAAGGAAGGAAGAGAGGAAGAGAGGAAGAAAGGAAGAAAGGAAGAAAGGAAGAAAGGAAGAAAGGAAGGAAGAAAGAAAGAAAGAAAGAAAGAAAGAAAGAAAGAAAGAAAGAAAGAAAGAAAGAAAAAAAAAGACGGTATAATTTACTAAGGCATTCTGATATTCTTTTCAACAGCACAGAGCCCTCTCAGAAAGAAATATGGTTCAGTTAATTTTTTAATTCATGCACTGCAAATTCGGTGGCTATTCCCATGAAAGGCAATTAACGGGGTTGTTTTTCTTCTCATTGGACTCTGTTTTCTAAAGTGAATTCAACAGGATCCACTTTCAGTGATGAGCGGTGACCTCTTTTAATCACCGCTGTCCACTGATGGGCTTGTCAGGCAATTTAGCTTCAGGTGCATAATAGCAAGTTATTACAGAGATAGAATCACTTTAAGTTTCTAGACAGTGGAAGCTTCCCAGAATCCATTAGTGCCTGATTGAATTACTCAGATTTGAGCACGTGAAGGTTTTGTATGGCAGCATGTAATCCATGAGAGTAACTAATCATATCATATTGATTTAGATGCTGCTAGAATGGGAAATCTAATTGTGAGATGGTGAAAGCTTCTTGGGGAATCTGGACTAATGACTGTGCTTGTAATCCCATTTGCAGGTGAAAGTTCTGAGCATATCTGTGAAAGAACTGTAGAAGATAACATCCTTCACTGGACTTTGAAAGCCCAATAGGGAAGGGAAAGGCCCCTGGCGTGTTGTTCTTAATGACAATATTGTGGCGTGCATTTCAGCAGCTTTATCTTTCCCCAACTTTTTTTTTTTTTGCTAACTTTTACTGCTGGAAATGATGTTTGACTAATGCAGCAAGTGCTGCAGCGAGATGCAAAGTGTTGGATACTCCAAGTGCAGGGAGAGAAAGGCGATGCTTGGTTCTGTTCTAGCAGGAGGTTATTGTCCTTCGCCCTTGCTGGAATTCACGCATCTGTTCTGAATTAGGGCGTTGACTGAAGTGATCTTTTGCCTTCAAGCCCAATGGAGTAGGGGCATTCTTAAAATCCATGCTCCCGCTACTTGGGAAAAAAGCAGCACAATTATCTTATGGGGCTGAGGAAGCCAATGGCGGTGTTTTCTCCAGCTGGCTTTCTTTGTTAGTGTTCTGTTCTTCTGACACAGCAACAGCAAACAAAATAATTTTACAATGCCCCTTTTGTCCTGGCATTTTCAGCAACTTGACCTCGGGTTAGATCTTTGGAACACAATTGCTTTCTGATCTTGTTTTGTGTCTATGGCTCTCACGTGATAACTTTGTATGCTATTTTGCATTTAATGAAAATGTATGGTCCATTTATTGCATGACAATTAGGCTTAATGCCTTTCATCTATTTTCTTTGTAATGTTTTAAGTAGTGTAGCCTGCAGGCTATAGAAATATACATCTACAATACCATGACTCATTTAGCCAACTTGTTGACATGGCGATATGTCCTTAATCAAGTATGATTAAGAGACTTTGCTCTGCTCAGATACCTATACTTATGAAAACTGTGAATTCAGGGTGCCCACATTAACATCCATCTTAAATCCTACGTTGTGGCCATTTCTGGGCCAGAGAGATGGAATGGCACGCATGTGCCATCATATTGTAGTCAGATACCTTCTGATTCAAACTAGAAATGGCTGCAATACGTGAAGTAGCTGGCTGTGACAACCTGGTCTTCTCCAGATGTCTTGGGATGGCAGCTTCTAGAACTTTCTGGTGGCAAAAAATTGTAATCCCAATGCATTGTAAGGCTCCTTTACCTGGCTGGGGAATTCTGGGAGTTGAAGTCCACACATCTTAAAGTTCCCAAGGTTGAGAAACACTGTCTTAGTTCACAGGAGATGAAAATAGGAAATGCTCACTATTAACCTTCTGTAAGGCAGGGAAGACAGTTTTCTTCAGGCAGGCTTTAACTTTGAATTTAGCGGTGACATAGGCAGCAAGGTTTAGCTGGGTTTGTTAGGTGAGTTAGCTTTCTGGATGACTGCATGCATATGCTTTATTGAATGTTAAGGTATTTTACTGAATTTGGTAGTGTAAACTGCCCAGATTCTTTGAATTGGGTCAGTATATAATTCATAACAAAAGGAAGAAACCAACAAGCAAAAAAATCTGTGTACAAAACCCCCATATGTAGAGATATTATGAATATAAGTTTCTGTATAGGAACTAGACTCCTATGATACAGGGATGGTAGAGAAATGGCCTAGAAATTAAGCCCTGAGAAATAGTTGAAGAGTAACATGAGGAAACATCTCCCATTAGGGGGAGATGGGTGGAGATAAATCTAATAAATAAATAAAAATAATAAATGAGTTTGTGAATTTAAGGATTGACTAGCAGGATTGCGTCCTTGTATAGGTACTAAAACAAAACATGTTATAGTCTCAAATGCTCTTTGTAGGGAGGCCCCTACCACAGGCAAAAGAAGCCCATTTCCCTATAGAAGTGGATGACTGGGAGTTTCCCTGTATCTCCATAACTTTTTTTTTAGCTTTTTTATTTTTTAAAAACAATCTTACCAAGTGTATCTCCATAACTTTGTGCATAAAGCAACCTTGATGAGGCTAGAGAAGTGCTTTTCAAATTTCAACTCCCAGAATTCCCCAGGCAGGGGAGTTGAGTACACACATCTTAAAGCTGCCAAGTTTGAAAAACATTGGGCTAGAGGAAGGAAGGAAGGAAGGAAGGAAGGAAGGAAGGAAGGAAGGAAGGAAGGAAGGA